GCTGGGTTCACCTTGAGTGTACCGTTGTCAAGAGCACCGCCTTATGAGCGATCTTCCAGCCCGAGCATGTGACTGACTTTTACCTCCATAAGTTTTCACAACACAAAAATATACGAGATGAAGTCTGGTGACCTAATAAAGTCTCTTAACTCACAGATCACTGCAACACCTGTTATAAACTGAACTATAATCTCTGAGGTTTGGCTATAAAATGAAAGTTAAGTCAGATAAGAACTGTAAATTAGTATAGAAAGCATGGATAAAGTCCCTCTCTGACACCCGTGACACACATCACCACCACGAGTAACCAACAGCGCCTCGGCAGTTCCTCAACAACCCACCTCACCTACACTCTTGACCAAGGCTTCACCCACCTTCTCCCTCTACCGAGATATACTACGGTTATGAACGCTAACACTACACTACTTCCCCATGATATAAAACCTGAACTCTTGAACTAATGTGATGGAGGAGGATGTAGTACCCGAGGGAGATGGAACTAGCAAGATGTAGTGTGTTTGTTTAGAAAGATGATGTCTTCTGTCTTCTCAAGGGTGAATAACAGGGATGGAAGGGGGTTCAAGGAGGGAATGTGGATGATACTTCTTAAAGGGTGAGGAGGATGGAGGTTTTCTTTTCCAAACTACAGAACAGTGGACGGGGTGTTGCAGCGGTTCACGAGTCAGCCAATCAACCCCGCAGCCACCCAACGTGACATCAACACTGGATCAAGAGTCTTTTAAGATGGAAAGTTTCACTGACCTACTTCTTTACATACCCTACCTAACCTCTCCTATTTCTATGCATGTATGTCTATTTTCTTACTACCGCCATCGCCACAACTACCACCACAACTACTACCATCACCACAACAACTACCACCACCACAACTACCACCATTACCATTCTACCACCACCACCACAATTACCACCATCATCACTATCATCATACACCATCTGCTCCTGCATAATAACGAGCGTCTTACTTTCAACTGATGACAGGGAAAGTGTAGCATCTGACGCTCACACACACACACACACTTGTAGCACTCGGCGACTGTACCATTGTTTCGGAATTAATAAGACACAATGAGATGATGTGACTGAGGCGCTAATCGAACTCAGCAACAAGGAATTAACTGCATCATTAATTGCGAGAGGAAGATGTGGAACGAAATAAGACCCCACACACACAGGGACGGAACCACAGTAGAGAACAAAGAACATGTAACAGACAGACAACTTTAATGAGCAATAAAGGTAAGAGGGGTACCGTAGGGGCTTCTGCTGGGGCCATTGTTGTTTTATGATGGGTAAAGGTAGCGAGGTAGTATCACTTACCAGGAGGAGGAGGAGACTTTGTTGATTCGGATACCAGAAACCTTACATGTAGTGCAGTTGCGGAAATGTGTTCCAGCTCCCCCCTGAGGTAACCCGTGTCTCCAAACGGCACCGTCTCAGCAGAAGTATCACTATTATGAATAAATGGGTATTGGCTGTAACAACGGACGTGATTGATGGATAGGTGTGCGATAGGTGATATAGGTTGGCCGTTTGGAGACACGGGTTACCAAGAAGGGCTGGGCTATTCCATTTCCTAAGACCCCAGTAGGTTTTTGTTGGCCAATATACCACGAACACCACGAGACAGGTACCACGAATACCACGAGACAAGTACCACAGAACGGTAAGTGCGACGTCACGAGAAGTAGTAACTCAAGGGTCATTACGGTGAACTTTGTTGTGTTATCATGGCCGCCAAGTGTCACGAGAACGGTACAGGTATTAGTTTTTGTTGCTTCATGGAGAATTAGGTTGTATAAGAGATACCAAGGGGTGTTACCTCTGTTGTATAAGGAGTACACAGGGTTATTACAAGTACCGTGGCTGTTTCATGACTGAGGGGGTTTAGGGGTGGTACACAGGAGAAAACATGTTCTGAGAATGGTGTGGTGTGTGCAAGGTATCATGTATACAGTGATGTGTACAAGGTGTCATGTATACAGTGATGTGTACAAGGTGTCACGTATATGGTATCGTGTGAGTGATGTGTACAAGGTGTCACGTATAAAAGTGATGTGTACATGGTATCGTGTGTACTGAGGTGTGTACAAGGTGTCACGTATACAGTGATGTGTACATGGTATCGTGTGTACTGAGGTGTGTACAAGATAATGCTCACCTCACCAGCTGAGTAACAAGAAAGTCAGAAAGTGTTCATTATATACAAACACAGATACGGGCTTGCATGTGCAAGTCAGTGTGGCGTCTGTACATGCATTTCTTGTGTACATACTTGTCACGTGTGTACGGTGCTGTGTACACTGAGGTCCACGGGCTACTCCCCATAATCTAGGAGAAACTTGTGTGGTCTCCTTACTACATACATACTCACGGGTGCTAAAAGTAGGGGTGTGGGAAGCCCGTGACGATGCCCATGTTGGTGTCATGGTTTCGAGGCATCACGCAGGTAAACAATATAACTTTGTGTGTCTAAACTATCCCTTAACTGGGTCTTAATTTATTTAACAGTAATATTCCTTCCTCAAGCAGCAGACCGAGTGGAAGAGGTGGACAGTGTTATCCTCTGTCTTAAATACTTCAGTAATCATCAGTTTACAATCTTTCTTGTTTACTGATATTTTTTGTAATAAGTATTATTGGACCTTTCTCACTGTCTCTTGTTTACAGCGAGGCATCTGACACTACACTTACCGTCCACCACACCACCTTGCGCTAATCCTCGCTCCCTGACACAGCGAACAACACCCAGCACACACAGGTCTAAACTAATAACTCACAGCTGTCAACACATCACACAGGGACCAGTATACAGGGTACAGGTGGCACAGTGAAAATGGACCAGATGGGTTTGGTTGACAGTAATGTTCCCTCTAAGCTCAGCACCTGCACGGGGCCCCAACAGTGAATCACGTGTCGTATAATAAAGTGTTCTAGTTGCACATACGACAGCCACGGTAAGATGTCTACTTCATACAACAAACATCTAAAAAATCAACAAACACCGTCTACAATTCCATCTCTACAGTAGGGGAGTATGGTTGACAGGCACCTTGTATAAGTAACAGGGGAGTATGGTTGACAGGCACCTTGTATAAGTAACAGGGGAGTATGGTTGACAGGCACCTTGTATAAGTAACAGAGTATGGTTGACAGGCAACTTGTATAAGTAACAGGGAGTATGGTTGATAGGCTGTATAAGTAACAGGGAGTATGGTTGAAGGCACCTTGTATAAGTAACAGGGGAATTATGGTTGACAGGCACCTTGTATAAGTAACAGGGGAGTATGGTTGACAGGCACCTTGTATAAGTAACAGGGGAGTATGGTTGACAGGCACCTTGTATAAGTAACAGGGGAGTATGGTTGACAGGCACCTTGTATAAGTAGCAGTCTATCTCGACTGTCAAACCCAGTAATGGACACACCACCATCGCTTTCAACAAGTCTAGCAAGGACAAACTATTTGCTCGAACGACGGTAAAAAACAGAATCATGGTCGACACGTAAGGTTCACGTTAAGTACCAAGTCAGGGCGTACACCGTGAGAAAGTTACCGCAGGATACGCCAGGGAGTTGTCGAGCGTGTGTGTGTTTACCTTAGCGTGTAGTACACGTGACCACTGTACCTACCCTGTGGTCTGTCAGGACGGAGAGTGAAAATACCACAACACACACACACACAGTACGCACAAATCCACACGAGCACACACACTTACTTCCGTACACACAAAACAACAATATAACAAACAAGCATAAGTACACACACCCTTCCATGAGCCCAGCCAATGTATGTATCGTCCTCTTATATATATGGCAACTCTCCCTCTAGTCAGTTATAAGGTATCTTTACCCTGGAGGTTGAAGACAGATTAAGGAAGAAAAAGGCGGGAGGGCGGGGAATGAGATAATAACGGGTCATGGTCACCTTAATAATGTGGCTACTCCTCACCACCTGGTTGGAGAGAGAGATGGCAAGTAGGAAAATAGTCAATCCTTACACACACACACACACACACACACACACAACATTCATACTTCAAGCTCACCTATGCCTCCCCACCGTCTTCCTCCTAAATGCCACACAACGTAAACACAACGAAAAAGTGCAAGGGGCATGACAGATTATTCTCTCCCCTACTCCACATATCAAAAGCGCTCAACACACTGAGCCATTCGACTCTCACTGACCATCACCACGACCTCATCTTCAAATTTGGTAGAAGCTTCTACCATCCCCGACACCGGCCCCTACTACCACCTGAGATCCCCTGTCCGAGAATTTTTCGACACCACAACCGCATCCAGCCCATACGTGCACGGGCAGTCGCTATAAGAACAGCCCAGTCCCAACCATTGTAAAAATTATCAATAACATGTAATAAATCAGTGTATTCACTCCCAGTAAACACTGCTCTACACTGTCACTATGTTGAAATGAACTGTAGTTTGAGCTGATCCCCATCTAAGTTATTATATGTCTTATTTGTGTCAATTATGTCACTTGTATATTATTTGTAATTCGTAACCCATTCCCAAATATGTAACTGTATATTTTCAGCCTTCTGGCTGTAGCTCTTTCAATAAACCGTTAATTATTATTATTATTACACACACACTAGACGGGATATACACTTACTGTTCAATGTGTTTCTCCGCCAGCTACTGTAATATACCAAGCACCCGATACTTTAATTATACGGTATCTGTACCTATACATGTACCGAGTGCTTCATTTTGCAACTGTTCTTCGTATTTGTATCTGTAATTTTATATCTTTACCTTTAGTTTAACTTGTGCTTTGTCTGTACCTGTATCTGTACCTAAAACACCTGTAATTAATGAACTCAAATGAAATAATTATCCCTTCGTTTTCATTCTTCCTAATCTTCATCATCTTTCCCTCCACATCCTCTCGAGGCAGGGAAAGGCAGGGAGGCAGGGTGGGGCCGAGGGGGTACTAGTAAGCGAGCAGCATCGAGCTCACCGAGTCAGTGTGTCTGTGGTCGTGGTAGGAGAGGTGTAGCTCTCTCTCTCTCTCCCACGCTCGTTGATTCTGTCTGTCCGGCCTCCCTACAATGATATGTCGGTCTATATAACGCTCTTATAACGTCTCTATGTAATATGTATAAGTGATGTGTTAACTACTATACTTTATAGTGATTCAAGTATCATTTAAATTACCTTTTATTGGAATATATGAACAGTGCCAAATATTCCGTCCCGGATACTGACTGAAATTAAGTGCCTTATACACAGTGCCGCGTGTACCGTCCCGTATAAAGCGAGTGTAATGTCTTAATAACCAGCACCCCATATATCGTGCTTTATAAACATGGTCCCATAAGGAGTGTGTTAATAAGTGCCATACACAGTGGGTGACAATTATACCGTGCCCTATGAAACACCACTAGCAGATTATCTTATAAGGTATGTGTGTGCCATTTAAACAAGCGTGTCTTATAAAGTGATGGTCTATAACGTGTGTATTAGGACTAGGGGGGGGGCTTATAAGGTTCGGTATACAGTGTCCATTAGTCAAGTAGTGTTGGGTAAATTGGTCTTTTAAACAGTGCCTAATGAAGTGTCCCTTATAGAGTATACTGTATTAATAAAATATTGTCATACAGTAGAATGTATTAATGAATAAATCAAACACACACACACACACACACACGATCAAGCAGCTGTATTATCACACAATCTTTACACCATAATAAAAAGACATCCACAAACTTTCTATATATACTAAAGTGTCTGTCTGTGTTACTAATGTATATACCAACAAAATCACCCGGCGTCTCTGGGGGGTCAGGTGTTTACTGTATAACCTTGACAGTCACAGTTGACCTTTCCTGACACAATATCTCAGTAGGGAAAGATTTTTTTGGTCTTTGGTCAATAGTACAAGCTCGGGACCCTGTGTGTGTGTGTGAAGTTTCATGTCTCTAACTGCATTTGGCCTTTATGTATGTTTAATGTTGTGTGTACATTAATACATACATATATACATCTACATACTCAATATTTTCCACTACATAATTCCTAGTCCCTAACAACAAGTGTCCTGCCATGTCCCGTTCGTCAAAATGGCCGCGTTTTTATTTTGTGATTCAACGGTCCTTAACTAAGGCTTCTAAAATGTCACGGGAAAATACCACTTGTAGGGTGGCGACCGTTCTGAGAGAGAGAGAGAGAGAGAGAGAGAGAGAGAGAGAGAGAGAGAGAGAGAGAGAGAGAGAGAGAGAGACCAGCTAGTATATAAAGGAGATAAATGAAGATAGATGACAAACAAGTAAAACTCTAATTAGCTCTATACCTCGACACTCCCACGCTCATTGGCTGCTTTAACCCAACACCTCCACACCGATTGGCTGACATACCTCAACACTACGCTCATTGGCTGTCATAACTCAACACCTCCACACCGATTGGCTGCCATACCTCAACACTAAACTCAGCACCTCCACACCGATTGGCTGACATAACTCAACACTACGCTCATTGGCCGTCATAACTCAACACCTTCACACTGATTGGCTACAAACTCACACGAGTAGTTTGTCACAGTGCCACACCAACACCTCACTGGCACCCATGACCAACACCACATTAGCCTCAATCTCATCTAATTACGCCTGAACTAATGACGTCACTCAACACCAGCTGAACTAATGACGTCACTCAACACCAACTAAACTAATGACGTCACTCAACACCAAATGAACTAATGACGTCACTCAACACCAGCTGAACTAATGACGTCACTCAACACCAACTAAACTAATGACGTCACTCAACACCAACTAAACTAATGACGTCACTCAACACCAAATGAACTAATGACGTCACTCAACACCAGCTGAACTAATGACGTCACTCAACACCAACTAAACTAATGACGTCACTCAACACCAGCTGAACTAATCAAACCTCAGCTCTGTAAATCAACGCTAAAAAGTTGAAATAATAATGTACGAGGCAACTCAGGTTCAAAATTATATCCATGAGTTAAATGCGCGCACACACACACACACACACACACACACACACACACACGAATAACAATAAGTGACACAGTAGAGTAAAAGTGTTGGTAGTTATTGGAGCGAAGAATGATCATTTATAGGTGACCACATGTGTCGCACCCAAACACCAACTTACCCCCCCCACACACACACACACACACACACACGAATAACAATAAGTGACACAGTAGAGTAAAAGTGTTGGTAGTTATTGGAGCGAAGAAATGATCATTTATAGGTGACCACATGTGTCGCACCTAAACACCAACTTACCCCCCACACACACACACACACACACATGAATAACAATAAGTGACACAGTAGAGTAAAAAGTGTTGGTAGTTATTGGAGCGAAGAATGATCATTTATAGGTGACCACATGTGTCGCACCCAGAACACCAACTTACCCCCCCCCACACACACACACACACACACACACGAGGTATTACAGTCCATGGCGGTGATTTTAACGCTGAGGTGGAAGTGATCTATCTCTCTCTCTCTCTCTCATTACACCCTACCTAAAGACATCACCTCTACACCTACAACCTTCACCTACACATCAGCGCCCTTCACCTGGCACACGACAGTATACTCTTACCCCTCCACCTAGTACACCCAACCTTACACCTAAAATACTTTACACCAAACACCCACATATCCCACGTCTAACACCCTCATACATTTAACACCCTAGTACCTTCTTCACTCTACACGCAACACAATACAACACTAGCATGTGCAGTCAGCAACACAATAACTAATACGAATACCCTCCAATGTCACTATAACGAAGTTAAAAGGTTTCCAAAGGTGAGGGGTAGGAGGGTAGAGAGGGGGGGGGGAAACAGCTGATGTGGGGGTGGTGGGGGTGGAGGTAGGACGGGAGTAAACAGATGATGTGATTGGTCATGGTGCGTTGTATAGTCTGATGTGAGTCACTGTGCCATGCTGGTCTCTCTCTCTCTCTCTGTTATCATCATGTCTCGTGCTGGAGGCGTCATCAACATTCCTTCATCACCATCACTTTCACTACCATCCTCATCACCATAATACACCTACATCCATTATCACTATCATCGACATCACTCTCAAGTTCAGTCATTTCACAATCACCATTATTACTACCACCACCATCAGCGTTTTCATCTCTACTACCATTTCCTCTCACTTACCACAACCCCCCCCCACACTCGTTCCCTTGACAGTAAAAGTGTACGTGTGTATTGAGTAGCTCACGTGGGCCCGCTTGGTGGGTTGGTCAGGCGAGATGGGCACTAGCTGAATACACTCACCTACCCTCTCTAATTCTCACCTCTCACCACCACGACTCTCAGCCCAGCCACAGTTGCCGGTCAAAATTAAATCTATCATAATTTAACCCAATCTAGTCATATAATATCAATTTAATATTCCAAGAAGTTTACTTAATCTAGCCCGTGTAAACTTATCCTAATCTAACATATATCTTAGCTAAGTTTGCCTAATATAACGTAAAGTTAGATTAAGTTTACTTTCACTAATAATCTGCTAAGTTATATAACCTAATCTAACCCGACCTATATCAGCCTTGCCACGACGCCTTTCCCTTAAAAGAAAAAGGGAAGGTGTAAAAGGCAAGTGGGGGCTGGGCAGGTGGTTAGGTTAGGTTGAGAATTGCGTTGTCCCATTCACATGACTTTTCACTCCACTGATGATTATACTGAACCAAAGGAAAAAAAATGGTGATGAGCAGTGATGATGACGATGCCATCAAGTCTTATAATAATTCATCTCTTAAGTCACGGTCAACTTCACACATGACCCCACAAACAAGACACAGCATAACGAATGATAATGAAGGTGTTCCAGACATTAAAAAAAATATATGGAAAAAAAATAAATAAATGACCACCAGGAGAGGACAGCGCGGGAAGAGCAGCGACCTGGTGACATCCGACAACTCATTATTTATCTGACGCTGATGCCCAAACAAACATACTAACAACAAAAGTTCAATATAACGTGATATATTTATTTCGTTTAAAAATACGCAAGTGAAAGATTTAAAAAAAAATAAAACAATGAATTAGAAAGTTAAAACAGTGCAGACGAAACAAGAAATAACATGTGGTAACTTCTCCTGGTCATCCAACAACAAAAAGTAAGAACCAACGCAACAGTCAACACAACGCAAGGGTGGAGGACACTGATGGATGGTTAGGGACCTCCCCCTCACACGGAAACCTCACTTCATGTTTTTCCCTCGTTAAAACCACTGTAATGCTAACCATATTTAGTGAGGCGGACAGCACTTCCGTTTTCCTGGCTTATTCGATCCCTCCCTTCCAACACACCCTATAATGTGACTATGACTACTACTTCTGCTATTATTATTACTACTACTACTACTACTACTATTATTATTATTATAAACACTACTACTACTACTAATAATAATAATATAAACTGCTGCGAATACATGTCCTTCATTTATAAGCTAGTTCCTCATTCTGGCCACACACCACCAACACACTCAGCCTGACTAACGAGGGCTTCATTAGCTAATCAAATAAGACCTTATACATCGTAGCAGACAGAGAACGTGCTTTGGGTCAACCGTAAAAACTCTCCTGAATAAGAATACTCAAATAACATTATGCGTTCCATAATCTTCATGAAGGGAATATATATTGTGTAAAATATTATTACAAGACAACCTGTGTGCATGTCAGTAGGTGGGTTTCACTGTTATGTTTAATTATTACAGAGCTTCAACAGTTAGGTAATTAAGTGCGTACATTATGCTTGATAATACACAAAACTTCACCATTAAAGAATTACGTGGCGTATCTCTGGTTGTGTACAAATCTTTCTTTGTCATTCTGCATTTATTTTTTTATGCAATAAAATAACAAAGAAAAAATAAAATTTATATGAATGAAAATCTCATCTTAATTTTATTCTATATTGATTATAAAAATTAATGTTGGCCGACACGATACTTCTCCCAGTGAGTGCATGTTACCATAAACAGCTGCTGTTATGATGCTGCTCACTACCTGATGGCGGTGTACAAAAGGAAACCGGTTTACTACATAAGTGTGTATCAATCTAAATGATGACGATTACTATTGTATTATCAAGGGTTCACTTTTTAGTTCATTTTTTACCATAGAGAAAGGACACTAACAGTCCTAACAGTGAAAGTAGGTCTTGTAAGTCAGATAAGGCTGGGTACAGTGAAGTTACCCCAAACACGAACCAGCAACCCTTACCACAAAAAAAAGAGCTCTACCGCCGCTCCCCTAAAGCCAGCAGTAATCAAAATAATACAATAATTGTTTACAAATTATCGTACAAACAATAACCCTCTTCACACTCAGCGGCAACACAGCGCCACTAGAGAAAGTGACAGTTATA